TGTGTATGTGATTGTGTGGTGTGTGTGTGTGTGTGTGTGCGTGTGTATGTGATTGGTGTGTGTGTGTGTGTGTGTGTGTGTGTGTGTGTGTGTGTGTGTGTGTGTGTGTGTGTGTGTATGTGTATTTGATTGTGTGTGTGTGTGTGTGTGTGTGTGTGCATGCATACAGATGTATGATTATACACAAAAAGATAAATACAAAAACAGGCGATTGGAAGAAAAACAACAATCATTATCGTCTAGGCTTAAATGAATAGAAAATGATATTAAATAAATGCCATTTTTTTTACTTTGAACAATCTATTTCTTAACGTACATAGTCATACCGTCTGGAGGAGGAACCATCATATATTTCTTTAGAAGGGATAGACTAGAACCCTTTTTTTATGTTTTTAATCAAAAACAAGATTCCAGCTATTGCCTATTTTCAGATATTTGCAATGGTTACTTGTGTTATCCAGTCATCGAGAGTGTATGTGAATTAGGAAAAAAAACTTTCTTAGATACTCAAAACCATATTCATAAACTTTTTAAAAGCCATTTTCTTAGTCGCTTTGTCACGTGTCAGAGACGTGTTTGTGTCACGAATACTGTCTTCGAGAACGCAGAGGTGTGACAGGTGGCTGTGTCCGTTTCTGTTTGGCAAAAGTATGTTCTCGAACGAGTAATATTGTTCTGACGGAACCTGATAAAAGATGCTGTTATAGGAAATGGTGCTGGAAGATAGTTATAACACGTGTCTCGGTCGTCTTTTATACTTGATAGTTGATAAATAATTGCCAGTAAATGGAATACACTCCATTTACACTAATGGAACTTGAGGGACCATGTAATTATATCTATATCTATCTATCTATGTGTGTGTGTGTGTTTGTGTGTGTGTATACATATACATTCAAATGTGTATATAAAGTCCCAGATTTCCATGAGTGAAGTAATATTCCCGTCAATCATGACATTTTTTTTAGTCAAGTGCGTGGCGCGCAAAGAACTGGGGAATATGACTGTAAGTTACTAATTGCTTTTTTTACGAATTTAAGAGCATTTTCTGCATATTTCTTAGTGTTAATAATTCAAAAGGACCTGTTACAACTTAGGCAAAGAAGACAAGTAAGATATGAACCAGCCACACGAAGGTGAAAAAATTCAAAGACGTTTTGATTCAAAAGTGTTCGTCTTTGTTGTTTTTTCTCTGAAGTGGAGTCAAGTTCCTCTCCGAAACGTTATGGTTTTAATGTTTTTTTTTATGGCTGTGTTCGATATGTTCATTGTTATAGCTTGTTTTAAGTATGGAATGGAAATGCTGGATTAATTGATCGTATTTTATTAAATAGACAATGGCACAATAAATACTATAACGGGGATGAATTTCGTTCGCGTCGAGGAAGAACAGGAAAGATGAGAGAGAGAAAAATCATAACAAGTGTAAACAAAGGTACTTTGAATAATACTGTGTGCTAAAAACATTAAGAGGAAAATGCCTGGCGAGACCCAGAAGCGAGATGGACATCGTCTGTGTTACCCAGCCTCTTGGTTGATCCTCTTAGGCGTAGGTGGGGGGAGGGGGGCCGTAGGCGGGGGGAGCGGGCTTGTAGGTGGGCTTGTACTCGGGGTACTGAGCCTCGCCCTCGTAGCTGACCTCAGCTACGAGACCGTCGCCGTTGTCCACGTACTTGACGGTCTGCTTGCGGCCGTCGGGGAGGTCCACGGTGTAGCTGCCCTCGGTCTTGTAGCCGTCGCGGGACTCCGAGGCGGCGAAGTTGGCGCCGGAGTAGCCGTCGGCGACGCCGTAGTTGTAGTTGTACCTTGGGGGAACCTGCGCAACGACGGGGGAAAGAAATGAGATTCTAGAATAATGACGTCAAAGTAATTTGATTTTGTTTTCATACTGCAGCGAGGAAAAGATAAAACATACTTTCGACAATGTAATAATGGAGAGCTTACACTAAAAAAGACACACGACGAAAAAACAAGAATAGAATCACATTTCTTCCTCAAGTAGCTTACAACTCCAACAACTATTTCGATTACTCACATCAGGGTATTCCGGCTCCTTGTAGGGGAGGGGGCGGGGTACTTGGGGGGGTGGTGGGGCATAGGTAGGGGGGCGGGGTAGGGGGCGCGATCAGCCACGGCCAACACGGCCAGGCAAGCGAAGACGGCGGCGACCTGCAACACGAGGGAAAGGGGAAGACAGAGACGAGGTCAGTTTGGTCTAGAGATGGATTTTTTTCTGTAAATTTATCTCTGTCTCTGTTTATATAGAGAGAAAGAATGGAATATCTCAATCAAGAGACGTTTTTTTTCTATAAATTCGCATTCTTCATCGATTTCTAAAACAAGAAACGTTTGTCTATAAAGCACTATTCTATATCACATTCTAAAAGAACAGACGTTCCATTATTTATCGAATTCTAAAACGAGAAGCATTCGACTATAAAGTCAAACACTTTATCGATAATTTAAGGCCAAAGACGTTTGTCTATAAACTCCCTTTCTT